CATAGAAATCCTGGACGACGATACTCCGCTTGCAGCTTTCGTGCCTTGTACGCATATAGCGCGCAAGTGTCTGCATAATGGTTGAGGCGTTGAATTCATGGCTAGGATTGCATCGATCCATCTACTAATACATGTCTGCTTGCATCGTTCACATATGCCACCGGTGCTGCCAATCAAGGTCCCTAATTCCTCAGCTAGAACGGAAGGCTCTGCGGCAAGTTCCAGCGCCCCTTCGAAATCCAGCTCCCGCGACCCGGATGTTTCCCGGGAAAAGGTGCCTTTGGCTAGCTTTAAAACCTTGCTTTCCATGTTGTCGAAATACTGTGCTGGTGCTAAGATTGTGTTTTCGTGAAAGCATGGGTTCACATTAGCTGCAGGCATACACACCAGAGCCACCGTACGTGGCTGCCGCCTTGCTCAATCATGCCTTGCATGGATCTGCTTCCTCTATCCCCGCTGCAGCCCCACCGCCCAAGGACATTGGGAACGATTTGCGTGAACATGCTCCTGCTCATGTCACTCAAGCCGATCAGCAGAAGCTGGCGGCTCAAAAAAGAGCGGATGCCGCTGCAAAGGGCAAGGCAAAAGCGAAGGACAAAGCGAAGCAGGCGAGATTCATTTGGGGCATCGGTCTTTGAACCAGCCTAGCTATGACTTCTCGTCAGGTGTACGCTCTGAAGAAGAACACCCGGCCGGCTAACGACGGTACCAAGAATGTGCAGTGGGCCGTGATGCGGAGAACGGAGGCCCCTTGGACTTGGCTGGTTCAATCTCTGTCCGTGTTGCATCCGCTGCAGGGTACCACAGAAAAGCAGCTCTTTCAGACAAAGGACAGAACTTTGCCGGTTCATGCATCTCACGTGCCAATATGCAAGCTTTGCCTGGAACTCCAGGACATGGATATCTCCACGCAAATCATGCAACAGCTCAACGATAAGAAAATCACGGAGGAGGAAGCAGTCTCGAAATCACATGCCTGGAAAGTCTCCGGAGCTCTGCCTTGAAATCCGATGACTGAGCAAGCGGCCCCTGTGCTGGAGCCGGCCTTCCAGATCGGTATATGAACCGGGCCGACATCGCAATGGTGTTTCGATACGTTACTTCTGAGCTACGGTCAAAATCGTCCTTTGCTTGCTCCACTATGTCCGTGCTTACATGTGTTCTGCAGCCAGCGTCTGTGCAGGTCGAGATGCCGAACTTGCCTCCGGCTCCCTGGCTGCTGCGCCATCGGCCCCCGAGTGACCCATTGTTAGTGTGTCGTTTTCAATTCAGTGTTGACAGACGCACACTTCCGCAATGTTCATTATGCTCAATGCAGCTTGTGTGGATATCTGTGCATGGACAATGCCGTACGTGCCCAACGTTGGAAGCCTGTCCCGCTTCTTGGAGAAGCTGGATGTGCTGCAGCTTCGAGAGCTGCACGGGTTGCTCCACCTTGGCATTCCATGGGTCGATCACTTAGCTGCCATCCGTGTGATTCGGATAGATACTTCTGCATTGGAAAGTCGTACTGCCTCAGGTCATCCTTGAAATGACCTTATACCTACTCATCCTGCAAAACATGGAGAATGGGCTCATTCAGGCTCTCGATGGCTGAGTGTCTGTAGATCTTTCTTTCATGTGTGTGCCGATTGCCTTCTGCAGGACCTCCCCGGTTGCTTGCAGTGTGTGGAATTCTTTGCTGGTGTGGCGTCCATAGCTACGGCCTTCTCTGCCCAGGGATACAACGCCAAGGCAATGGACTTCAATCGTTGCCTGTAATTCCAAGACGCATGATCAACTGTGCCACGCAGCTGATCCTCTTGCTGCTGATGTAGTTTGGCCACTCAGGTTCTCAAATGCATGATATGCTCCACCCTCCCGGCATCGTTCTCTGCTTTGCTTCCATCCTGGCTCTGGAGCCAGGAGGGTTGGCGCACTTTGCCACAGTCTGCACCAGCTTTTGCTGGACCAACAGTGGAACGCATCAACGCACTAGTTTCAATCCTTTGGGCGACGAAAGTAAGGAGTATATACGTGAAGGCTCACAACTGGCAGAGATTACATCTGCTTTGATGCTTTTGGCCTGGTGCAAGGGTTGCTGGGTTACGCTGGAAAATCCAAGATGCAGCAAACTAGAGATCTACCCATCCATCCAAGCAGTGGTGCAATTCCTGCTTGACCGAGAAGCTGACGGCTTTGAAGGAACAGCCCTTCTCAGGCATCCCATTTGTTTGGGTGATTTCGGGGCTCCGTCCCAGAAGCCGGTTTGGCTTTATTCTACATACGACCTTATGTCCACCTTCAAGGAGGCGGCTCGAAACGGTTCGCCTCGCAGATCACGCAGTACCGATGACGGTGTAACGATCCGGTGTCCTGGTTGCAAGTGATTTTCTGGATGCGATGAACCATACTTGTTGACCTGCCCCAGAGGTACAAAAACGCGGTTGGACTGGAAAAGGTCCATGGAGGACCTGGCCTCAAAAAGAGTCAAGAATACCCAAAGAGGCAAGTGCTGCAACTCACCTACCTGATTATGCTTGTTGCTCAGTACTGCAACTAACGCCGATTCTGCATCCGCACAGGTTTGGTCAGGTCTTGGCTGGCTGGTGGGTGAGCCATCGTCGTGAAACGAGAAAGCAAGGGACACTCTTCATGTTAACTCCTGTGGTGTTATATCTGCATTGTGCAGTGAATCCCGAACTGCTCTAGGATGAAGCGGCGAATCCAAGCTTGGAAAGCTAGTGGAGATCTATCTCCCCAGCAAATGAAGGCACATCCATCCACGCTTCCAGCGACCCTATCCTTTAGATTGCACGTCTGTGTCTGCAGGACCAGATCCTGGCACATGCGACAGACACAGCGCTGGACTTCGGTTTGGGCGGTGCTTTGCAGTGGTGCCGTTCTGGGCTAAGTGATGGCCTGTGACTGCTGTCGCATGGATTCGAAAAAGGTTTGTGAAAACAACATGGTTCCAGCCGCTCTACTATACGATCACTGCCGCAGCTGCTACCCGTGACTTACCCGTGACTTGAATAACCGCTGGGACTTATATAACTCTAGCGCTACCGTGACTACCCGTGACTACCCGTGACTTACCCGTGACTTACCCGTGACTTGAATAACCGCTGGGACTTATATAGCTCTAGCGCTACCGTGACTACCCGTGACTACCCGTGACTTACCCGTGACTTGAATAACCGCTGGGACTTATATAGCTCTAGCGCTACCGTGACTACCCGTGACTACCCGTGACTTACCCGTGACTTGAATAACCGCTGGGACTTATATAACTCTAGCGCTACCGTGACTACCCCGTGACTACCCGTGACTTACCCGTGACTTGAATAACCGCTGGGACTTATATATCGCTACCGTGACTACCCGTGACTTACTCGTGACTTGAATAACCGCTGTGACTACTATAACATTACTAGTATTACTACTATACTGCTACTACTACTACTACTACTACTATACTACTACTACTACTACTACTACTCCTACTACTACTACTACTACTACTACTACTACTACTACTACTACTACTACTACTATATACTACTACTACTACTACTACTACTACTACTACTACTACTACTACTACTACTACTACTATACTACTACTACTACTACTATAATACTACTACTACTACCACTACTACTACTACTACTACTACTACTACTACTACTACTACTACTACTACTACTGCTATACTACTACTACTACTACTACTACTACTACTACTACTACTACTACTACTACTACTACTACTACTACTACTACTACTACTACTACTACTACTACTACTACTATACTACTACTACTACTACTATACTACTACTACTACTACTACTACTACTACTACTACTACTACTACTACTACTACTACTACTACTAGTACAGGTTTGCCGATCCTCCGGCCCCTAGCGCCAGGGGTGCCGTTCCTCCGGCCCTGCTCTTCTACTAGTACTAGCACTACGAAAACCTACGCAGTGTCACAACCATAACCGGACCATAACCACTATACGTACCGTCCTGGATGCCAGGACTGCATAACCGCTATATTTACCGTCCTGGATGCCAGGACTGCAAAGATCTACTTGCAAAACTGATAAACTATTTATGTGCTGTGTATGCAGAAGCTGAAGCCCCGAAAGCCCAAGCAGTGTTTGCAGAAGCTGAAGCCCCGACAGCCCAAGCAGTGTTTGCAGAAGCTGAAGCCCCGAAAACCCAAGCAGTGTTTGCACAAGCTGAAGCACCGAAAGCCAAGCAGTGTTTGCAGAAGCTGTAGTAGTAGGTGAAGGTTTGGCTGCTTTGCGCCACCCCTCCGGAGGCAGAGAACGGCCGTTGGCACCTCGCCACGCCACACAAGTTCATTAACACCCTTTTCGTACGGCCAGAAGCTGAAGCACCGATTGCAGAAGCTGAATCACCGAAAGCCAGGCGGTGTTCGCAATGCTGCAGCCGGTGGTGCTCGAGATTTTGGATCCCTTGCCTCCAACACCATGAAGAAAGGCTTCTTGCTGCCGAAAAATGATGCGAAGACCGAGAAACCCAAGAAGACGCGGCCACCCGAGAAGACCGAAAAGGATGATGCTCTTCAACAGCCGGCGGTCTCGAGCTCAGCCGCCGCCGAGGTTCCGAAGATCTATACCCAACCAGAGATCAACCACTTCGTGAAGCAGCTGGAGGTTATGAGACGTTGGGGATCCGACGTTGGGGACTTCACCTATATCACGGAATCGGGAGAAATCTTCGGCAAAGGAGATCTGGAAGAGATTGTTCGTCGCTATGGACGATAGATCGCTCTGTGCACCCGCGGCGGATGAAAATTGAATTTCCTGCCTTGGTTGGCTGCCCCAAGTTGCTCAAATGTATTGCTTTAGGTTGCTGCTCGCTTGGATCTTTGCATTCCGCTTTCTGTTGCTGCGTGTTGGTCAATGTCAGCATGGCAGCATCTTTTGTATTCAAGGTGTTTGGGAAGGGGCTCCCGTAGGCGGCCCTGGAATTCCAGGGCATGGCGAACGACCCCATGCGAGTGAAGCTGGAGCAGCTTGACGCTCTTTCGGGAGAAGCCGAGAACGACCCGGCGAAGTTCGGGCGGCTTCTGAACACCGCTATGAGGGCGGGGGCTGCTGCTGGCGGAGTGGCTGGGCAGGGCTTTTCGGACACCTTCCTGCAGGACCATTCGGGCTCAGGGAACTGGAAGAAAAGCAAACAAACATGCTGCCGCCTATCTAGGACACTCAGCAGACGGAGGCCACGATCGACGCGCAAGAGGAGCAGGACCTGATGAAAGAACTCGAGTCTCAGCTCTACGGCTGCGAGATGGACATCTCCTCCCAGGACTTCAATCCCGCCAAACCCATCCTGTTTCCGATACGCGCCATATCTGTTTCCAGGACGCCCAGCCGACCCAGTACGATCTGCCACCTGCTGACTTGCAGACAGAAGGACATCCATGACTCGCGTTTTGTTGCAGCTTCAGTGTGCACATGTTCTGGTTTGTTTCGATCACAGGTACAAAGGATGGCTTTCATGCCACGTTGGAGCATCTCATGCGTGAGGTCGGGCTCGAGGAACGCGAGGATGATGCGATCAGAAAATCTCCAAAGCGAGAGCTTGAAATTGATTTTGCCAGGGTCGCCAAGGAACTGGAGGATGAAACCATGTTGGCCAAGGAACATGAGGAAGCTGAGAAAGCCAGCAGAATGGCGAAGGAAAGGGAGGAAACTGAGAAAGCAAGGTTGGCCAAGGAAAAGGAAGAAGCTGAGAAAGTAAGCAAAATGATCAAGCAAATGGAGGAAGCTGAGAAAGGCAGGTTGGCCAAGGAAAGGGAGGAAGCCGAGAAAGCCATCAGAATGGCCAAGGAAATGGAGCAAGCCAAGCTGGCCAAGGAAAGGGAGGAAACTGAGAAAGCCAGGATGGCCAAGGAAATGGAGGAAGCCAAACTGGCCAAGGAAAGGGAGGAAGCTGAGAAAGTCAGGATGGCCAAGGAAATGGAGGAAGCCAAGCTGGCCAAGGAAAGGGAGGAAGCTGAGAAAGTCAGGATGGCCAAGGAAATGGAGGAAGCCAAGCTGGCCAAGGAAAGGGAGGAAGCTGAGAAAGCCAGGATGGCCAAGGAAAGGGAGGAAGCCGAGAAAGCCATCAGAATGGCGAAGGAAATGGAGGAAGCCAAGCTGGCCAAGGAAAGGGAGGAAACTGAGAAAGCCAGGATGGCCAAGGAAATGGAGGAAGCCAAGCTGGCCAAGGAAAGGGAGGAAGCTGAGAAAGCCAGGATGGCCAAGGAAAGGGAGGAAGCTGAGAATGCCAGGTTGGCCAAGGAAAGGGAACAGTTCAGGCTGGCAAGATTGGCCAAGGACAAGGAGGAGGCCGAACATATGAGATCGGCCAAGGACAAGGCCAAGGAAAAGGAAGACGCTGATAAAGCCAAGGTGGAGGCCGTGCGACTTGTAAGAAACTAAGAAACCTTAACCCCTAAACCATAAGTATAAACCCCATAACCTAGAACCTCAACATTAAACCCGAAGCCTTAACTCCCTAAATTTTATACAACCCTAAACCCCAAAGCCTAAATCCGCCACTGTCAGGTCGACATGGCAACACAGGCGGCAAAAAAATACCAGGCTTTGCCGATGAACGCGACAAAGTTGCAAAAGCTACAGCTCTTGCAGGACATTATGGCTACTGGGGATGAGGGTTGCAAGCAGTTCTGCAAGGATGAGCTTGCAAAACTGATCAAGCCGAAGGCAGCAACGCCAGCTCCGGCCCCTACCAGTGATGCCGATCCTCCGGCCCCTACCACAACGGGTGCCGATCCTCCGGCCCCTACCACCAGGGGTGCCGATCCTCCGGCCGCTACCACCAGGGGTGCCGATCCTCCGGCCCCTACCACCAGGGGTGCCGTTCCTCCGGCCCCTAATGCCCCGACCTTTGATGATGTCAGTGCGAAGATGGGTTGGTCAAGTCCTGCAACCCCACGCATGGTGGAGGCACCTGGTACGCCATCTCCTGCAACGCCTGGCAGTGCAATCACAACGCCTGGCAGTGCAAAAACAACGCCTGGCAGTGCAAGCGACGGCTTGGTCCAAGGTTCTGCGCCACTCTACAACCGAAAGAACGCCGCCATGTTCTTGAATCGCCTGAAAGGCAACCCAAAGAGGATGCAAGCCTTGCCTGATGACTTGGCAAAGTTGGTGCGGGACGAAGATTCAAAGAGCAAAGCCATCGACTTGATCGTCGCTGCAGGAGGAGACGAAAATGAGCTGGTCGGGCAGTGGACTGCATCGTCCATTTCTGTGGGGACGGACAAGGAAAAGGGAAAGATGAAACCTTTGACGGAACAGGAATTGATCGGCAAGTACGGTGCGGTCAATGCTGCGAAGGTGATGGAGGAAAAAAGGAAGGCTGGTTTGGAGGTTGATGATCCCAATTGTAAAGGGCTCAAGCTTTACTTGCACAACGAGTGGCAGAGGGAATGGACGAGAGGCACAGAAGAACGTTTCTTGCTTGCATTCATACATCGTGCATGCAGTTATGTTCGACTTCAACATTTATGTAGCATTCGTGCATTCATGCGAACGGAATCCGAGGAAGCAGTTTCACTGCTTCCGGAGAAGTTCGTGCGGGTGACGCTGCCAACGTTGCACAAATTCTCAGTGTGCCCCGGCGGGCGCTGACAGGGCCCGGCCAGGATGATGAGGACAATGTGGACATGGAGGAGGACCCAAAGCCACTTCCGAACAAAAAACCAAAGAAAGCCAGGAAAAATGAAGCCAGCGGCAAAGAGAAAGAGGAAGACGGTGAAACTGAGCCGGAAGCACCACGAGTGGAGAAACTTACACCGCTGGACAAGGCGGCAGACTTAAGGGGGCGGGCCCTCTCGAAGGCCAACCACGCTGGCTCGATGCGGAAGCAGTTGAAAGGAGTCAGCTATGCGACTGAATGCCTCAAGGAGATGACCAACTTCGAGCAGGAGTTCCAGTGCCTTGGCTGCATTGATACCTACTAGATTGTTTTATGAGCCTCTGCCCCACAGGGCAGGTACCCTGGTCTAGCCATATGAACAAGAAGTCTTGACAGACGCTCATGTGGCCCCATCCCAGTACTATACGGCCAAGGGCGATCTACGACCAGGTGGACAAGCTCATCTCTGAGCTGGTCCACGATGATGGGGTCTATCTTCCCATTGCTACCAGATATCTCGATATCGCGAAGCGTTATGAGAGGCCCAGCAAGGTAGCAAACAGCTTGATCCGAGCTGCGAAGGCGACTCCGAAGGATCCAACCGCGCCCAAAGGATCGGCTAAAGCCAAGTCCAAGAAGCGCAAAGCCGCGGAGGGAGCCTAGAAAGAATCTTGGCACCCGGGGTCGGTGCTCAGATGGGCATGTCGTGCTGTTCACGTATATTAGAATATATTAGAATACTCCAAGGTTACTGGTAACAGATCCATCTGGATTTTGCACATCTCATTTTCTTCCAGTGTCCGACACTGATAACGTACAGTCGGTGTAGGGTCCTCGCCCAAGGGCTCGAGGACCCAAGCCAGTGCTCTCGACGGAGCCTAGAAAGAATCTTGGCACCCGGGGTCGGTGCTCAGATGGGCATGTCGTGCTGTTCACGTATATTAGAATATATTAGAATACTCCAAGGTTACTGGTAACAGATCCATCTGGATTTTGCACATCTCATTTTCTTCCAGTGTCCGACACTGATAACGTACAGTCGGTGTAGGGTCCTCGCCCAAGGGCTCGAGGACCCAAGCCAGTGCTCTCGACTTTCACAATCCTTGGGGAATCGATCGTCGCTCTGGTGCCAAAAATTGCTTGCTGCAGATGCCCTGACGGGGTTTCACGTGATGGGGTGGAAGGAATGAAAAACATTGTTGCCAGGTACGTGCCCTTGACAGAGTCTGGTCGGCCTGCCTTTACGACACGTCGTCGTGGGATGCTGCTGGGACCGCAATATATGCAATAAGCATAAACACGCCACTGGAGCAAGGACCGCAGATGACTTTGACTCCGCTGGTGCAGCTTTACTGGCCCAGCGCATGGGTGCTGGAGACTCTTGACTTGGATGTATCCAAGCACGTCAGCTATATAGTCCGTGTGCAACACTCTTGGACCTTGCAGCCAGAACACACATTCTGAGGCGATACCTGTGGCCGAAACAAGCAGAATAGCATCTGCCTTCCGGCGAGATGGGGCATCTGGACTTGCCCTTTCACAAATGGCAAGCAGCGAACGGGAGAGGGATTTCTTCCGCTGGATGAAGTTACCCATCCAGCCCCTGCTGGTGGATTTGCCTGTGTGGAGCAACACCAAAGAACGCAAGGACAAACAACTGATATTTGAGAAAACAGCTTTCTGTCTTCCCAGTGATGTTCTCTGCGAGCTTTGCAAAAGATCACTGGTGGAAACCTGTCTTATTGGACATTCGCACCTCGGCCCGCGCCTGATTGCTTGGTTCATTGTTGGTGCATGTATTGCTCATGGACGCACATTTCCTGCTTTGATATCTCAGGTCAGTAGATGAATGGTGGAAGCAAGAACGGGACCAGGTTTACATACGGGAGATCTCCCGGAACAATCCCAACTACCAGGACATGCTTCCATTACGCTTTCATGAGGATGGTGTACCAACAACTAAGAGCGAAACATGCAACTTCTGGTCTTGGACCACGCCTTTGGCTAGCCGCGGAAGCGAGATCTCTCGCTTCTGTCCCTCGGAAATTTTCGATTAGCAATATTCTTTTAGTTGGACAACAGAGCTAGCTGACCATATACATATATATATATATATATACATATATATATATATATATATATATATGTATGATGGAAAACAACAATTAAAGGCATTGTTGGTGTCACGAACAGTCGTGTCGCGCCCGAAACGAGACGCTGCATCGCTGACATCATCGCTTGGGATCTTCGAGCACTGGAACGTGGCGTTTTTCCATCCTGCGACCACAACGACGTTCCGTGGCCAGCTGGCTCAGCGCGAGCCCAAAAGATTGGCCAAAACATTGGGATCCGAGCATGCTTCTCATATTGGGCTGGAGATATGGAAGCTCATGCAAAATCACACAATCTTCAGAGGCACTATAACAAGCCTTCGATATGCGATTGGTGTTGGGCATCGAGCCGGGACAAACAGCTGACTTTCACAGACTTTTCTTCGTCAGCTCTGTGGCGCTCTACATGCAGCTACCATGAGCCGCTGCCACACCAAGAAGAACGATCTGTTTGGTGCTCAGTCAAGGGCTTCACCAAGCGCCGCCGCCTGTTTGACAGCCTCTAGGTCGCATTAACAGCATTCCTGGATGGCTTTTTTATGGCTGATAACGTACAATCGGTGTAGGGTCCTCGCCCAAGGGCTCGAGGACCCGAAGCCACTGATATAATATTTTGGCTCGCCGTGGGCCGCCTCTGCCATGTGCTTCTTTTAGCTGAGCATTTCAGGGTGAGTGCCCCCGGCCTGTGTACACTCACAATGATTAGCGATCCGTACGGCTTTTGGTTATGTAGTGCTCGAATACTGTAAGATGCACTGCTCAACCAAGTTATGCACCTCGCCCATCTGGGTTACATCCGGGACCTTGTGGCTTCCATTCTGGTTGAGACCGTGAGATCGGGCGAGATGGCAGCTTTCTTGCAATTCGATGGCAGCCCAGATCAGCTTCTTCACAGGTGGACTGCGGAAGCCCAAAGTTTCTGCAAGGATCGTGGCCTGGATTGCTCGATGAAGCCGCTGACGTGGGAAACTTTACATGCCAACAAGAAGGCTATCTACCCTGAGCTCACAAGCCGTATAAAGCAAGTCGGACCAGAAACTTGCTGGCGTTTACCGCTTATTACTGCTGTCAACTGGAAATACTGGTGTCTGGTGACGCACCCTCAGACACGGTGCATTGGTCGAGGTGCAGGGCAACGATGGTATGGTGCTTGGATGCAGCATTGAGTGTTGGGGGAACTGGCAGTAAACCCTTTCTCAAGCCAGAGGAGATTATCGAATCACAATGGTGTTTCGATACGTTCCTTCTGAGTTATGCTCACGCTGCTGCACGATTTCATCGAAAAGGCATCTGCTTGTACAAACTTCGGCCGAAGATGCATTACACGCAGCATTTGGTGGATGAGCTGCCCTGCCACAAGCTCAACTTTTACCATGCTGCGAATTTTTTGGATGAGGATCATATGAAGTTCCTCAAGATTGTTTCGGCCGGCTGCCACGTGACTTCTCAGCCTCGCACCTGGGCAAGACGTTACCTGACGAAACAAGTGTTTCTCTGGCAACGCTTGCCCGGGGCGACGGCGAAGAAGAAGCGCCGCGTCGCCGAAAAAAAAGAGGACGCCGCAGGTCTCTTAAGGGTTTTAGGGTTTAGGGTTTCCAAAGTTGGGGCTTCAGGTTTGGGGGTTGAGGGTTTAGATTTCGGCTTAAGGAAGAACTTGCCACAATGCAACCAAACAACATTCCATAGTCCCGAAGCTTGCAAGTTTAGGTTCCAAGTTTGAAACCGCAAGGGCCAAGGCCTCCCCAAAAAAAGGGAGGATGCATTCACATATACACCCCTTAATACCGATATTCCCGAAACCTCTCTTGTTCCCAATCTAGTGCATGCATGGCCTCGGGTGGAGTTGCTCCCCCTTGGCCATCGGGTGGAGGTGCTCCCCCTCGCAACATCCGCCTTGATCCTAAACCCTGGCCAAAGCTTGCACAAACTCCAAATCAAAAGCCTGCAAACAAAAACTGGGTTCCACGCCTGAACTGTTCAAACCCATAACAAAGAATCCTGCATAATGCTGTCAAAAGCACCGAAAGCCAAACCGTGTTTGCAGAGGCTGAAGCCCCGAAAGCCAAGCAGTGTTTGCAGAAGCTGAAGCCCCGAAAGCCAAGCAGTGTTTGCAGAAACTGAAGCACCGAAAGCCAAGCTGTGTTTGCAGTCGCAGTGGCAGTTGTAGAATCTCGAGGAACGCTGGTTGTGCTTGGGACTGATTGCTTGAAGGCTTGCACCTGTTGGTCGGTTGTGTGCTTGGCTCGCAGTGGCAGTTGTAGAATCTCGAGGAACGCTGGTTGTGCTTGGGACTGATTGCTTGAAGGCTTGCACCTGTTGGTCGGTTGTGTGCTTGGCTCTGAAGGCTTGCACCTGTTGGTCGGTTGTGTGCCTGGCTTGATGCATGTGTTGGATGGTGGTTGTGTGCCTGGCTTGATGCATGTGTTGGATGGTGGTTGTGTCCCTGGCTTGATGCATGTGCTGGAGTGTTGGTCGGTCGGTTGGTTGGTTGCGACTGATTGCTTGAAGTGCCGCCCACCGTGAGTTGTAATGGCTGTTGGCGCCTCGCCACGCCGTACGTGTATATGTTTGATTGTGACAGCTAGTCAACAAAGACTCCTGCATAATATGCTTTCTACTAGTACTAGTACTACGAAAACCTACGCAGTGTAACAACCATAACCGGACCATAACCACTATACGTACCGTCCTGGATGCCAGGACAGCATAACCGCTATATTTACCGTCCTGGATGCCAGGACTGCAAAGATCTACTTGCAAAACTGATAAACTATTTATGTGCTGTGTATGCAGAAGCTGAAGCCCCGAAAGCCAAGCAGTGTTTGCAGAAGCTGAAGCACCGAAAGCCCAAGCAGTGTTTGCAGAAGCTGAAGCCCCGAAAGCCCAAGCAGTGTTTGCAGAAGCTGAAGCCCCGAAAGCCCAAGCAGTGTTTGCAGAAGCTGAAGCACCGAAAGCCCAAGCAGTGTTTGCAGAAGCTGTAGTAGTAGTAGTAGTAGTAGTAGTAGTAGTAGTAGTAGTAGTAGTAGTAGTAGTAGTAGTAGTAGTAGTAGTAGTAGTAAGTTTTGGCTGCTTTGCGCCACCCGTCCGGAGGCAGAGAACGGCCTTTGGCACCTCGCCACGCCACACAAATTCATTAACACCATGTTCGTACAGCCGTTGGCACCTCGCCACGCCACACAAATTCATTAACACCATGTTCGTACGGCCGTTGGCACCTTCACTAACCGCTGGGATCCCGAACCTTTGGATATATAACCGCTAGGATGTGAATTAACCGCTGGGATTAACCGCTGGGACAATTAACCGCTGGGATTAACCGCTGGGACAATTAACCGCTGGGATTAACCGCTGGGACTAACCGCTGGGACGATTAACCGCTGGAATTAACCGCTGGGATTAACCGCTGGGACAATTAACCGCTGGGATCATCAAATAACCGCTGGGATGTTGAAATAACCGCTGGGATGTTGAATTAACCGCTGGGATATCAAATAACCGCTGGGATGTTCGATTAACCGCTGGGAGCCCGGGATGGCCTACATCGGTTTGTGT